ACTCTGTAGCCCAGGCTGGCCTCAAACTCACAGAGATCCGCCTGGCTCTGCCTCCCGAGTGCTGGGATTAAAGGCGTGCGCCACCACCGCCCGGCTGTGCTCTTTCTTAATGGGAAATTACAATTGGAACTTTGACCTCCAAGTAGGATGGACCTCATGCTCTAACAAGCCCCTGCAGAGACGCTTGGCATTGTGGGTAGTGCTGCTTCAGCCTGCTGTGGCACTTAGCCTGTGCCAGGCTGCTGTTCGGGCAGACGGACAGTGTCTCGGAGAGGCGAGCCAGCTCAGCAGGGAGATGGACAGTTCCGTGGACACAGGCATGCAAACAAGCTTTTCCAGACCAAGCTGGGGGACTAGATTCCCAGAGATTAAGGGAAACGACAGAAGTGAAGAGGCTTTGATGCGAGCATCATGACTGACCTACAGTAACACTCAGTTTTTATATACGCGTCATGCTTTTCAATACTAAGTCAAGCTTATTATTTTAGTGTTGGAGATTGAGCCCAGGGCTTCACACACACCAGGTGAATATTCTAGCACTGAGCCCCAGCCCAAACCAGTTATTTTCTTTTTTAAATAAGGTTTATTGTTATTTCTGTGTGTGTGTGTGGAGGGCCTGTAGAGGTCAAAAGAGAGCGTGTGATCCCCTGGAGTTGGAGTTACAGATGGTTTTTAGCTGGGTGCTGGGAACTGCACTGAGGTCCTCTGAAAGAGAAGCAAATGCTAGTCACCCTTGAGCCGGTATCTGCTCAGCAGAAGCAGCTGTCTGTCTGTCTGTCTGTGTAACTAGGCTCCACCTGGGGAAGACGGTGCGTACTGAAGGCACTTGTGCAGCACCTGTCCCCACAGACCCCTGCTGCCCTGCTTTGGTCACACACGCCCACCTCCCAACTACCTCATCTGCCCTCAGCAGCCAGGAACCTCCAGACAGCCAAGGTCAGGTGCTCTGGCTGCCATAAGGTGGCTCCTCCTACTGAAATGTCCTGGTGGAGTAAGCCAGAGCTTGACCTCTGAATCTCAAGGAGACCTTTGCCCTGGGCCTCAGTTTCTCTATCTGCACAGGAGGGTGGTGGGTGGCACCACTGGGTCAGCAGCCATCTCTGGCAGACTGGCAGGTTGTCATTCAGCTGCCACTAGGGGTGGGAGTAGCCTGTCCCCAGCCTGTGGTCTCCCGGGTACTTTTTCTCTGGGACACTGTTGACTGGAGTTAGAGACATGTCAACTCCCAGGGGGTTCTGGCTGCCTGGGGCAGGCCTCATTTGACCCCCAGTGAACAGTGGTGACCACCCAGTCACCACTTGATGGTGTGGGTTCCCCAGCTAGAGGGAGGGAGATACTGCTATTCCCTTGAGAAAGCAGGGAAGTCACAAGTCTCACCTGGACAGCTCTCTTAGCTCCAGAGTAGCCTATAAAGATTAATCTCCATGAGTCTATTAAATGGGTAACAATTTATTAAGATGAATTGAGGAAATACACTCATGAATACAGAATGGAGTAGACAGAAGTCATCCTCTGATCTGACCTGGAGTGAATCCACCTCACAGGCAGGAGCAGGAAGAAGGGGCATGTGACCCTTCTCCAACTCCTTATAAGAGGTCACGTACAATGGCAGGAAGCACTGCCTCCTTTGGGCCACATAGCCCAAGGTCATGAGCGGAGTGAATACCATTACAGTAGCCCCTTCATGCCAAGAATTCCCTCTCATGTTCAGAGACACCTACCAAGGCCAGTCCAGCATGTAATGGAGGTGACCACACAGCATGGCAGTCACAGACAGGGCCGCTAATGAATGTTGCCAGAGCATGCCAGAGCAAAGACCTGCAGGTTCCAGGCCTGTGTAGCCCCCTGACATTCAGATCTTTGATTCCTACAAAACCCTTAGCTCCACTCAGCCCAGGAGCCATCTTCAGAAAGCCCTTGTGTCGGGGAGGAGGTCAAAGGCTCAGGGCATCTAAAGTTGGGGCTCCACATTCCGCAGCCTCTGCCCAGATGTGCACCCAAGGGT